GATGAACCAAGACCCCCCGGAAGCAGTGGGCCAGGCGTTTCAACAATTGAGACAGCTAAGATGATGGAGCTTTACAGACCATGAAAATAAGGACTTATACAGGTTTCTGAGTTTTATCATGGTCCCCATGGTGTGAACAGCGCCCCCTTCCAGCAGGAAGCAGTTTGGAATGAGCGACGTCCTAATTCCCATCTTGTTTATAAATCTTTGTTTTCATTTAAATGGGGTTGTTTATAATTGGCTAATGATAACAGCCGATCTCTTTTTTAATGGTAAAAAGGGGAATTATGGTATGGGTACTGTTTTTCATTTATTGAGACAAAATCAAGGTCAATTTTGTGATGCTTATATTTCTCCTCTTGATTAAGTATTGTGCTTATACTGTTCTTTTAAAACATAATACATAATTGAATACAGATTATAGAGAGTTACTTATAATAGAATTTATAGTTAGGTAAGTTAGGTTTTCTAGATATATAGAGATGTATTTGAGATAGATAGTCTTCAAACCTTTCAAAGACCTTCAGAAAATGGCATTTAAAATGGTTTAGGGTTTTTCTTGACAATGAGAAATGTCTGCTCCTGGCAGCACCAATTATGTCTGAAAGGAAGATGGGCATCGAAGAAACTTGTTATGGAGTTTGCTTTCAACATGACAAGATTAGCCATTTAGGCAAGAAACTGCTCTTGTCTGTACTGCTTGACTGTTGTTGTATAATCTGGACATGCAGGACCCACAGGAAAGTGACTGCTGAACTCAGTCTTACAGGGTTCCTGCTTCATGAAAGAGTCTAAGAGACTTTCTACAGGACAAAGAAAAATGGCTGACAGACTGCCAGCGCAGATAGACAGTTTGAAATTTCCTGCTTTGCTGAGAAGTGTTCCAGACACATTGTGGCCTATGGGCTGAAGATGGATGCCCCAACGTTACAGAGGAACTTCGGGTGACTGTCCAGGCAGTAAGATACCTCTGTCAATCCTAGTGTTTATATATTATCCTTCTGTGGTCTTTGATGGAGTTGAAGACAGATGGTTATAATTATAGTTTTCCTTAGTTATGATAAAAGATAATCTACATATAGGACTTTGGACTCACAAGGATGGGATGGATGATATTTTCTTTAGATCTTGCTAAATGTTAATAGACAAAATGTTGTAACTGTGTTCTTACTTGATAACTGTTCTGTCATATACAATTTGACTATGTTAAAGTTAAGACCTTTCTTTTTGTTTAAACAGAAAAGAGGAGATGTTGGGGAAGTCCTGTGTATATGTCAATAAAGCACTGTCTGGCCAATAGGAATCTAGATAGGTGGGACTAGGAATCCAGGAGGATTCTGGGAAGGAGAAACACAGGAGAGTTCGAGATGTAACCGCCATGGGGTAGGAAGCCCGGAACTATTCTCCGGTAAGAGAAATACTTAGATTAACAATTATGGGGTAATTACTTAAGTCAGAGCTAGCCAGTAAGAAACAAGCAAGGCCAACAGCTTCATAATTAATACAGCATCTTGTGTGTTATTTGGGGACTATAATGTGGCAGAGCCCAGGCGACTGGCGGGTGATATACCAAAGCAGCTAGCAAGATAAAGCTTCTCTTAACACTTAAGTACAAAAATGCTTCTGGTCTTGTTTGGTGACCGCCAACAGGAATCACCATGAACCCATTAGCAAAGATCATTCAGTGCCAGACAATTAGCAACCCAACAATAAGGTCACTGTGGCAAATGGCACCCAGGAAACAGAACTATCACTGGAAACATTTTCCAAGCATTCAAATAAGTGTCCAAAAGACCCGAGAAGAAACTCCGTCACACAGGCAGGTGGCTCCCCTTTCTCCCCAGTTCCCGCCCACCTCCTGCCCACTCAGGTGACAGCCACGGGTCCAAGCAGCCTGTCTACTTGACAGCCATCAAAGTTCCTACCCCGGAAGCCATGACCAGGCTGGAAGATCCACCCTGCCCCAGTCTGGAAGAGAGATTGGTTGAACAAAAGAACACAGAGTGAATGCAGAAAAGTAGTCGCAGCACACCAGCTGCGAAAGGGACTGTGTTTCAAAACTGTACACACAGAATGACATCAATTTTGATAAAATTAGGGAGGAACGGATGGAGATACCTAGAGAATGTAAGCTAAAGTGGTTATGTTAACTTTTGAATGGGGACCTGAAAAAGACTATAGCTCCCTGACCCTCTGAGCTGGAACTCTCCCTGGTCTTGGAGAGCTAAATGTCCCACTGGGATCAACAGGATTGGCTTGTAGGGTTTGGGGACATAAATGGAGCAATTCAGGTGACCCACTTGGACGAGTCATGCACCAAGCGAGTACTCAACAAAGGCATGGCTAGCAAATTCCTCCAGCACCAGGACCAGTGGCGTGCAGGCAGCCAGACGGCAGCCCATCTCTATTCAACCTCCTGCTTTTCCACTACCCTCTCTGCTCCCGTGGGGGGGGAGGGGAGGCAGCAAACTGGAAGAAACAAGTGTGTTGTGCTGTGATGAGCTGGAGAGCAGGGAAGCCAAGGACCCCCTTGAGGGCCCAATTCCTTGTGTGCTCTGCCTTTGAAAGCTGGGTAAAGCCTGCTTCTGTTGCAGTAACCACTCCAGCTCCATAAAGACACTGTATACAAGTTAAATGAGCGTCGGTGGCAAAGCTTGCACTCGGGTTCTCAAGCCCACCGCTGACTAGAGAGAGCCCCTCCTCTCGGTTTGCAGAGGACAAGCCCTTGCAGCACGGAGTAAATGAGGAGCTCGGCAGGCCTGTGACCTATGGAAGGGGTGCAGTCCAGGTTTGCACAGCTGCTGTCCAGCTGGAGGAACAGAAAGTCTTCAACTTTGGGACTTGTAGGGCCTACTGTCCCTTTCTGTTCACCTTAGCACTGATGAGCTCCTAAGGTCTGTCTTGGAGAAGAGATGGCTCCTGTCTCCACCAACTGTGAGTTAGATATCCGATGGGGAGAAATTAGATTACAGCCTCCGGAATAGCCCCCACAAGACAGCAAGGCCACCTGGACCTAACTCTTGCCATCTAGTCCATGAGCCAAAGGAAGCAGGTGACTGAGCTGACCTGACACAGTAACTAGACCCTGATTTAACCTGAGAGCTGGCTAATGTGGAGATCCGTGGTTACAAGGCAGGCCTCTGAAAGACCAACCGCGGTGTGATTGTTCGGGCCAAGTGGGGCAGAACCAACCGCAGCTGGCAGCGGCGGCCTGCAGCAGGTGGTATCCACTGACTCGCTGAGCCTGGAGGACAGGGCAAGAGAAGGTGTCTGAACGGAAAGAGCACCTGCTCCTAGCCTCCCTGCCGTGGTGGGCGCTTGCCTTTCTGGCCTGGACTGCCAAGACGCCAGTCCACTGGCAGCCCAGCCCGGAGGCACTTACCAAAGGTGGAGAGATAGAAGGACAAGTTCGGGCGGGCGCGCCGGCTCCCGAGGGAGACGCGGTGCAGGGAGCGCTCCATGGCGTCCCCGCTGCGACCAGGCCAGGAGGGCCTGTCCCCAGGCGCTGGCTGTGCGGCTGCAGGTAAGCCAGGCAGCAGTCTCAGCCGCCCCACTTCGCGCGGGCGTCTCCCGGCCGGGCGGGATCCGGGCCGGCGGCACCGTGCGTTGGAACGGCCGGGCGCGCCAGCCACTGATTGGCCCGCGCTGGTTTGAATGGGGAGATTTCCACCTGACCTAGCTGACGCGGGCCAGCTCGGGGGAGGCGTGGGCTCCTGGCGGAGGGAGACTGCCACTAGCTACCAGAGGTGGCTCCTTCCCGGGTGATCCCGCAGGAAACCTAGCTCCAGCACCCGTATCTCAAACTGCGGGTGCCAACCCAAATATGGCCCCTCCGCCCGGCTGGCCCACTTGAGCAAGCTTGGCCTGCTCGCCCAGCTCCCTCAGGCTGCAATTAGCTAGGTTTGTAACCGGCTTTGAAGCTCAGACCTGTAATCGCCAGGCCAACCTAGAGCAAAGGAAGAAGTGCCTGCCCTCCGGAGTAGCCCATAAGGGCATGGGATCAGGGAACATGAAACTGCACTAGACTGCAGCCTGGATCACTCTCTTGAGCCTCTTTTTGCGTGAGAGCAACATGGCACAGGTCCAGAGAGGAGCAGCTTGCTCCATCCAGCCTCAGGGCTTCCCATCTGCAGCCTGGCGACATCAGACAGCAGAGCAAGCCTTGCCATCTGCAGACACAGTGCAGGGTAGGGCCTTTCAATCTTCCCACCCTGGCACAGGAGGGCAGATAGAAGGAAGGTCAACCCTTGCATGGATTTGTCTGCAAACATTCATGAGACACCTCCAGGGATCAGTTTCACACCAAGACATCTGCTCTGCAAATCTCTGCTGCCACTGTGGGAAGAAAGCTGTTGGTCTCATGTAAACCTAAAAATGGGAAGTGTTAAGAGTTTGTTGCTGGTGGATATTTGTAGTTCTGTGAGCCACTCAAGACACAACCAGGGAAATGCAAGGAATGTATGTATATGTGTATGTATGTATGTATGTATGTATGTATGTATGTATGTATTGCCAGGAGCCAAGCTGAGCCTCACAGTAAGCCTAAAAAGAATTAGCTCCAACTTGCCAGGGAGAAATCTGAGCCTCAGTCAGAAAGGGAAGGCAGCTTGCCCAAGATTTGCAGAACTGAAATTTGAACTCCAGCCTGTCTGCCTCCAGAGACCGTTACTCTTTGTTCTTCCATAGCCTCCACAGTGCTGCACGGCCAAGAGCAGGTATGGGCAGCAGACTTGCATTCATGACAAGACAATGGATGTCATGAATTCAGGTGGCCATGAGTGTTGGCTGGGGTGAGGAAAAAGGAGCAGAAACTAGAGAAGCCTGCCTGAGATTAGCAAACACACGAGCCACATGCCATAAAGGCCAGTGGGTTATTTGATCCCTGGTGTTTTCTGAAGCTCTGTCCTGTTGGTCACCTCCCCCCAACCCCTAAGCCATTAACACTATCCTTAGCAGGGACAGTCCACCCTCCTAGTCCTGACCCACTGGCAAACATTTACCTGCACCCTGGACCTGGGCACGCTGGATCCTCCTCCTAGGTGGGTAGGTCTGGGTGCAGGCATCTTTTCTGGACAGGGAAGTGTGCCGCTGTGGACACTCCATCCAGCCAAAGAAAACGGACAGCTCTAGCTTCAAATAATGGGTGCAAAGAGGGAACTGGGTTCCAAAGTGCTGCAGACCTGAAGGGGCGAGAGCAAAACAGAAGTCAGATGCGCCCCCTGCAAGGGGTGTTCAGTCCCAGTGAGAGCTACATCATGTATACACATAAGTCATACATATACACATACTCATATGTGTGAACACATATGCACACATATATACACACATACACTATGCATGTTCCTCATGTACAGACACAAGAACACATATAAATACCATACAAGTACATGCAAAACACATTTTAATATACCATCTACATATACCATACCAGATCGATTATAGCCTGGCTTCATAAGAATCAGAAGTATTTGAGTTTAAAAAGGAGGGGCTAATAAGACTAATTTAGGAACATTTTCACACTGACTATTACAGAGTAGCAAATCTTCTTGCCCAATACCAAAATATTTTTGAAAAAAAATAATAGAATAGGATGCTTATAACGCCATGATGGTTAATTTTAGCTGTAAACTTGACCATATTGGGATCACCTGGGACAGGAGTCTCCATGAGGGGCTGTCTAGATTGGCCTGTCCTGTGAGGGGTTTTCTTGACCGGGTTCATTGAGGTGGGGAGACCTGCTCTGACAGTGAGCAGTGCTGTTCTGTTGAACAGGTCCTAGACTGAGCAACAGGAGTGGGACCAAGCACCAGTGAGTGTCGGTTTCTGCTATGTGACTGTAGGAGTGATGTGGCCCACTGTCTCTGCCACACTGAGACACCCTGCAGTGATGGGCTGTCACCTGGAACCGTGAATGAAAAGAACCCTTTCTCCCCTCTCTTGACCTTGTCAGAGTATTTTACCACCGTAAGCAGAAAAGAAACTAAGAGGGACTACCAAACGTGAGATAGCATTTTAATAGTGCCATGCCAAAAGGGAAAGACAAATCACCAATGGATTACCGGAATTCCAAGGCAAAATGCTTTAGAAAACAACAAAGGAAAAGACAAATCACCAATGGATTACCGGAATTCCAAGGCAAAATGCTTTAGAAAACAACAAAAGGAAAAGACAAATCACCAATGGATTACCGGAATTCCAAGGCAAAATGCTTTAGAAAACAACAAAGGAAAAGACAAATCACCAATGGATTACCGGAATTCCAAGGCAAAATGCTTTAGAAAACAACAAAAGGAAAAGACAAATCACCAATGGATTACCGGAATTCCAAGGCAAAATGCTTTAGAAAACAACAAAAGGAATAGACAAATCACCAATGGATTACCGGAATTCCAAGGCAAAATGCTTTAGAAAACAACAAAAGGAAAAGACAAATCACCAATGGATTACCGGAATTCCAAGGCAAAATGCTTTAGAAAACAACAAAGGAGAGTCATCCAAACAATTAGAAGAGTAAGTCTAAATCAGATGAAATTTTTAAAAGGAAGTAACAGATAAAGTTCAAAGGAAAAAAATAGACTCAAACAATGAAACCAAAGTGTTTTTTTAAAAAAGATCAATAAAGCAGAAACCCCCTGCAAAACTACAAATAAACAAGAAAAAGATTCTAAGATATGACAGTAACTTTTTATTTTAAAAAAAGTCGGTCTAGGGATATAGCTCAGTTATCAGAGACTCACCTAGCAGGTACAAAGCCCAGGCTCAGCCCTCATCACTGTAGAACCTGGATGCCATGATGACAATCTGTAATCCTAGCTTCTGGAAGACTGAAGACAATGAGACGTTCAAAGCTATCTTTCCCTAGCTACATATTCATTTCAGGGTCAACCTAGGCATGAGACCCTACCTCTTAAAAACGAGACAGTGAAACCCTTTTTAAAGGATTTATTCATTTTTATTTTATGTGGATATGTGTTTGCCTGTATGTGTGTATATGCACCGTGAATATGCCTCATGCCCACAGTAGTCAGAAGAAAGTGTCGGATCCCCTAGAGCTAGTGTGACTGATGGTTGTGATCCACCCAAACCAAGGTCCTCTAAGAGCAGCAAGTGTTCTTAACCACTGAACCATCTCTCCAGCCCTGAGTATAACCTTTGCATATAAATTTGTACATTCAAAAGTCTGGGGAAATGGGTGGCTTTTAGGAAAGAAGACTGCGGGAAAAGTCTAGGTGTCTACCTACATCTCTGACAGTGAATGTCCCTGCTCACATACAGCTCTGTAGTGTTCACTAGGTCACCAGCCAGAGAGAAACAAAAACAAACTTCTACCTGTAAAATTCTAGAAAGCCTAAAAAGTTTAGAGGCCCATTTTATAAGACCTTGAAGAAACAGAGGATGCTAATGTAATTTAAACTGTTTCAGAATCAAAAACCGAAAACAAAACCACAAACAAACAAAAAGCTGGAAGACTTGTCAGTATCCAGTAAGAGGCTAGACAAAGACAAAAGACAAGTAATCTTAGCAACAGAAAGCTATCAACAAAATATAAAGATAAGAATAAGGCCTGGAGAAGCGGCTCAGTGGTTAAGAGTACCGGCTGCTCTTCCAGAGGATCTGGATTTGATTCCCAGCTCCCTCGTGTGGCTCACAACTGGCCATAATTCCAGGCTCAGGGGTCTGATGCTTTCTTCTGACCTCCATTGGCAGCAGGCATGCACATTGCACACTTACATACATGCAGTGAAAACACCCACAAATAACATAAATAATGCTAAAAATAAAATAAAGATAGAAGTTAATGAAATAGAAAACATACCATATAGAAGATACATATATAAGGGGGGTAAAGCCGAACCAAAATGCTCCCAGTTTTGATATATTCCTTAGAAAGAAAGTCCATTTTAATGTGCTATTTCCCACTTTTCTTCTTTTCCCATTGTCTTAATATTGCCAACTCATTTAAAGAGTCTATAGGGCAGGCCGGGTAGTGGTGGACCCCTTGAATCCCAGCACTCAGGAGGCAGAGGCAGGCAGATCTCTGTGAGTTCGAGACCAGTCTGGTCTACAAGAGCTAGTTCCAGGACAGCCTCCAAAGCCACAGAGAAACCCTTTCTCAAAAAAAAAAAAAAAAAGAGTCTATAGGCCAAATAGAATGCATCTGTGCCACACCATTGGTTCAAATCTCTGCACAGACCAACCTGATTTACAAATATGTAAATGAAAAATCCTAAATATGCACAAGCCAAAGCCAACAGTTTATTCATGGTCAAATGGTATTTCTTCCAGGAATCCAGGGATGGCTCAAACTTAGTGAATGTATTATCCAGGCTTTGGCAAACTACAGCTAATAAGCCAAATCTGGCTGGTAGCCAGCCTGTGCACAACAGGTGAACTAAGAATGGATTGCACATTTGCAAATGGCTGGGTAAGAATAAAAGCAAATAAATAGCTTTTCTGGGTTGGTGGTACAAGCCCAGGTTCTGCAACCTCAGGAGGCTGAGGCAGGAGGACTGTGTGTCTGAGACCAGGCTGGGGCTACATAGTGTGACACAATATCTCAAGCGAATCAACAAATACTTTTCTCTTGCCACTGAGAAAGGCATAAACGCTTCTAACTGAAAAAAAAATTAGTGATGGAAGCACGAGGGGTGCAGGTCAGTGGCGGAGCGCTCGCCTGGCTCAATCCGGAGTGAAAGGGGGAAGCTGAAACAAATGACAAATTATGAAATATATGGCGATTATTAGCAACCACAAAAACCAGGAAAGATGAAGAGGCAAGGGCACCAAAGAATGTGACATGCCATTTTGTAAGAAACATAATTAATACACAAAACACTAGGTTCTAAAGAAGGAAAGAGATCTCTAGCCCCACTATCTGCCTTTAGGAAGTCCAACCATCTGCCTTGCTGTGTAGTGACTAAGGTGCAGGGTTGTCCCCTGAGTCAGCTGCTAAAGAGTACATAAACAGTGAGGAAATAAGCCAGCTGCCAGCAAGAGAGAGACCCACTCCAAAAGCCACCTTTCACACCAAGCTCCCTTGCTCAACCAGAATAGACAAGTATGTTCGCAACCTACACGGCGGCTAGCACAGTCAAATTCAATTCAAGGAGACAGAAGCAGAAAGACCAGGAGCTCAAAGTCATCCTCAGTCACACAGTTCAAGGCCCACCTGGGCTACAGAAGACTGTCTCAACAAACAATTTTCAACGCAGCAGCAGCTGGGTGTGGTAGCTGTCACCCTGTAATTCCAGCACTCTGGAGGCTAAGGCAGGGAGATTGCAAGGTCAAAAGCAGCCTGGCCTACGTAGTGAAAATATATCTCAAAATAAATAAATAAAACCCAAACAAAAACAATTATTTAAAGACTTAATGCAACCGGTGTTTGCTGCTCATCTTCGGGACTGAGCTGGACCCTGGGAAAATAGAAATTATAGGGTAGCAGATGGGTGTCACTACACAGAAAACAGAATGATACCTTACCTATTCTTTAAAAAAAAAAAAGATTTATTTATTATGGATAAAGTGTTCTGTCTGCATATATGCCTGCATGCCAGAAGAGGGCACCAGATCTCATTATAGATGGTTGTGAGCCACCATGTGGTTGTGGGGGTGGGGGGGCGTGGTTTAAACTCAGGACCTCTGGGAGAACAGCCAGTGTGCTCTTAACCACTGAGCCATTTCTCCAACTCTAATGCCTCACTTGTTCTTGGCAGACCACACTGATAAAGAAATCAGAGAAGAATCCCAAAGGAAGTGACCTGCAAGGTGATTAATTCAAGCAAAAGTGGTGACAAAGGGCAAGACTTATAAAGGGCGTAAAATAACAGAAGCGTCATAGATTGCGGGAGAAAACAACGGGAAGCCTAGAAGGGACTTCAGGATGGAAAGGAGGGGTGACACCTAACAGGCTATGCAGGGACCGGATCGCAAGGGTCCTTACTTGACTGCAGTGAGCACAGAGGGCTGGGGCTGTAGCACTTGCAGCCCTGGTCTGCTCTCCAGCTCCATGAAATGAAACAAAAGGAGTAAGCACTTTATACCCTAAGAGCATAGGGTAGTCACTGGAAGATTTGAACAGGACCCTGCAAACTTTTGCTCATTTTTCATAAAGGCCTTTCTGGCTAAAGCTGACAGAAGGGAGCCATGGGAGGAGATGGCTTGGGGGATGGGACCTCTAAGGCGGCCTCTACCAGACTAACACAGCAGTGCTCCCAAAAGAGTGGAGGGAGTATCACTGGCAGGGCTTGGTAACCAGAAGGAAGACAGAATGCAAAGAACTCTGGCTTTAGAACTAAAATGGGCAGGTATATCCTTCACAGAGAGGTAGACCTGAACCAAGGGGAATGGGTTTCCACGAGGTTTGTCCCAGTGAGGGTTTCTTTTACTGTCATAAACACAAATGATCAAAGCAATTGGGAAGGAAAGGGTTAACTTGGCTTACATGGCTTATGAGTCCACATCAAAGTCCATCACTGCAGAATCTGGAGGCAGAAGCTGAGGCAGAGGCCAAGCAGGGATGCTGCTCACTGGTCCACTCATCACAGCTTGCTCAACCTGCTTTCTTACAGAACCCAGGGCCACCAGCCTCAGGATGGCACCACCCACCGTGGGCTGAGTCACACCCCATCAGTCAGTAACTAAGAAAGTGCCCTGTAGATCTTAGGGAGGCATGTTCTCAGCTGAGGATCCCTCCTTTCAGACTCCAGCTTATGCCAAGCTGACATAAAACTGTCCAGGACGAGGCTGCCCAGGGTGAGCTAGCTCTGTCGTATCTAAGTGAAGACGGCACGTGAGCAGCTGGACATTCCAGGGTGACGCTCAGAGGAAATATTTAGGCTAGAAATGTTGGTTTAAGAGTTCTCAGGAAAGCCACAGGCATGGATAAGAAAGCCCAAAGATAATGTTCCATGTGAGAGGAAGGCTAGAAATCTAACCAGGCAACATACCAACTGAAAGGACAAAAATAGAAAGCCCAGGGAAGAGAGAGAGAAAGCCAGGGAATGTGCTAAAGAGAACTGTCCACATCAAATGCTGTTGAGAGGTCAAGTAGGTTAGTAACTGAGAAGTGTCCGTTGGACTTAGCAACAAAGCAGTCATTGTTGACCTCCCAACCCAGAATATAAAGCCGAGAGGCAACAGGTCCACATCAACGAAGATGTCCCCTAGTCACTCTAAAAGGAAAAACACCCCAGGCTCAATGCCAGAGAATATTCTGGACTCTTTCCCCCCTCGTCCTAAATTTAACCAGTCGGAATGCTTGGTTAAGTAGCGTTTTGTTTGCCCTTGAAATGGAGGACCTGCTTTTTAAGAATGTGTCTGCACTTCATCTCCAAAGTGGAACACAGTGTCTTTGGGGCAGATGCTAGGCACTGTAAGTGCAATGGAGAAGTTTTTGGTGACCTAAATACTTAAGCAGCATCTAAGTGGAAACCGAGGCCACTCACCACCACCAAAAAAAAAAAAAAAAGATGATTCAAGAGTAAGCTAAGAGGTTCAATTTCAATATAAAAAGATTAAAAGATTAAATCCATACCAACAGTTAGCGAAGCAGCTAAAATGGGTCAAAGTCTTGAATGATTCAGGAAGAAAGTACAGTACTCTCTAGTTCCTCAAACTGCTGCATCCTTGTACTTGAGTTGGAAGCCCTTTTAGCCCTTGGAGAAGCACCCTTTTCCTGGCCTGATTAAAGAGTACTTGGCTTGCCATAGTCTTGCATTCCTGAGTGTTCCAAACTTAAAGAACAGTGTAGATGTCTGCTTCTAGCCAGAGTGGAATATCATGGACTGGATTTTCCCTTTCATTTGAAACTAAATGGCCAGAAAAAAATACATGGAACAATAGTTTTCAAGATACGCAATACTGGGCTGGAGAGGTGGCTCAGAGGTTAAGAGCACTGACTGCTCTTCCAGAGGGCATGAATTCAATTCCCAGCAACCATATGGTGGCTCAGACATCTGTAATGAGATCTGGTGCCCTCTTCTGGCCTGCAGGGACACATGGAGACAGAACACAGTATGCATAATAAATAAAATCTTTTAAAAAAAAAGATACACAATACTATAGTTTTCAAGATACAAGACAAGAGGCTTTTATGTGCCCTGAGAGACAGAGGATAGGGTAAGACCTATGATCATCAGATCAGCCTGCTGCCATAGCAGGTTTCCCAAAAGGAGAGAGGGCTAAGGGCAATTATAATCCCTAAGCTAAGACATTAGGAAGGCCACAGTAGCTAGAGTTTATGAGACAATAACAGATGGATGGCCACACAGAGAGAGAACACCAGAGAGAGATCTGCCAAGGGTCCTACCCCAACCTCTGCTAATACCAATAACTCCTGGGTGTGAAGAAAATACCCCAAAGATGACAAAGAACTACCTTGATCTGGATATTGTGGCACACGCCTTTAATCCCAGCACTTGGGAGGAAAAGGCAGGTGGATCTTTGGGAGTCTGAGGCCAGACTGGTCTACAAAGCAAGTTTCAGGGACATCCAGGGCTATTACACAGAGAAACCCTCTCTCAAAAAAATAGAAAGAAAAGAAAAAGAACTATCTGAAAGGATTAGAGAAAAAACAGGCTTTGAAGCCAAGAACAACCTTTCCTTACCTCAGGCAGAATGAGAAGACCCCCCCACCCCTCCCCCATTCACGAGGCATTGAGTAGCATACCCAGAAGGGTCTTGCTGTATTTGTTGTGCCCTAGATTCAATACAATTCAGTCCCCATCTAAAAATGCTCAACAGCAAGACCCAAAAAGATCAAACTGTTTCTTTGTCATTTAACAACACCCCAGAACAGGCTCAAGATTATTTATAGGAATACAAAAATATCCAGGACCCAGCAAGGTACAAGTCATGTCTGAAGTCTAGTAAAAAGCCTCCAGGCATGCAAGGAAGCAGGAAATATGACCCACAATAAGGAGGAGCATCAATCAACAGCAACAGACCTGAGGAAGAACACAGCTGATAGACGTTGTAGACAAAGACAATAAAATAGTCTGTATGACTGCATTTGATTTGCTAGAGAACCCCTTTAACAAGGTTGTGTTTGGATATGTAATGGCCCCAAAGGCTTATGTGTTGAAGGCACAGTGCCTAGCCAGTGGCGCTATTGGAGGTGACTCCATCATGAAGGCTCCAACTCCATCAGTGGGCTGATCCATTGATGAGCGCATGACAAACGAGCTACTGGGAGGTGGGGCCTTGGAGGAAGTAAGCCATGGAGGGCACACCTTTGAAGGTTACCTCTTGCTTTTGCTTCTCTGTGTGTGTGTGTGTACATGTGCGTGTGCATGTAATGACCACCTTTACTCTGCCACTCCCTTCTACCGAGACATACTTTACCTCACCAAACAAGCCCAGAAACACAGACCAAGCAACCACACACAGAAACTCTAAATATATGAGCCAAATAAATCTTTATTCCTTACAAGTTATTTCCTCAGGTATTTTGTGTCATCATCAACAGCAACAACAACAAAAAAAGACACAGATAAGTGAAATATTGACTATCTAAAGGGGTAAAATGTTGTGTGATACTTTAATCAAATTTTGACAAAGATGTTTGCTTTGAATCAGAGGACAGAGCTAGCTAATAACTGACCAAAACTAACCATAGAGGTTTTGGAGGACTGAGAATAGATAGACAGGAAGTAGTAGGGCGGGGTTTGAGGGGGTCTCAGCCCCTTTTGGACGGAGGAACGAAAGAGATAGGAGGTCGCTGGTTACTTTTCTGCTGCTTCACTGATCATTCAGGTGCTTATCCCAATATCAGACTCCGAGTTTTTATTGATAAAGAATAATTAGATAAACACTTCAGGGAAATATGATGTCTGAGATGAAAAAGAATCACACAGAATGGGCTTAGAGCATTAGGCAGTGAAACTAGTGAACTTGAGGATTGAAACATAGACTCAAGGGCTGGGGAATGGCTCAGTCGTAATGTGCTTGCTGTAAGCCTGAGGGTTGAGTTCCAGCCCAGGACCCCACATAAAACTGGACGTGGTACCGTGCACTTGTGATCCCGCATGGGAGATGCGGAGACTGGTGAATGCTGGAGCTCCTGGGCATCAGCCTCTATAGCCTTTTGGGTGAATTCCCTGCCTTAAAATCCAAGGTGTCAGCCCCTGAGAAACTACACTGGAGGTGACCTCTGCCCTCCACATGAAGGCCTCCATGTGCAAATGTGCAGTCACACACACACACCACACATACACACACCACACACACCCCACACACACATACACATTGCACACACACACACATACCACACATACACACATATACCCCGCACATACACACACACATACACACATACATACACACCACACACATCACACACACCATGCACACACACGCCATACACACACCACACATACACACACATACATACACCACACATTAACATACACACATACACACAGATTTTTTAAAAAAAAGAATGGATCATCAGGCAGCTTTAGGGCGACTTCACACAACCTCACAGTTGTCATTGGAACCCTGAAGGAAGTGGGCGGCAATGGAACTTATTTTTCCAAATTTGAAGAAACTGTAAGACACCACAAATCCAAGAATCTTAATGAACCTCTAAACAAAGAAATATGGAGAGGTTCACACCACTGCGTCATGATGAGAATGCCAAAGTCAGTGAGATGGGGGCATCACAGAGCAGTCGTCTCAAGAGAATGGCATCAGACAGACCAGACAGGTGTGCCAAAGGGGTAGGAGCTTCTGGGTTTTGTTTTTGTTCTTTGGGTTTGTTTGGTTTTTTTGTTCTGTTTTGAGACAGGGTCTTACTATATAGGCCTGGCTGGCCTAGAACTCACTATGTAGACCAGGCTGACCTTGACCTCACAAGCATCTACCTGCTTCTGCCTCCCAAAAGCTGGGATTGGAGGCCTGTGCCACTACATCTTGGCTCTGGAGAGAACTACTTTCAAGTCCTGAAAGAAATAAAATGTAAACCAGAATTCTCTACTCAGCAAAAATACCTTTCAAAGAAATGAAGACAAATTATTTTCTCAGATTTGCAAAAGCTGAGTAAAGGTAACATCTACATGCACACCAAGGGGCTATTAAGGGTCTTCAGGCCAAGAGAAAATGGCATACTGCCATCTGCATCTGCTCAAAAGAACAGAGAAAACACAGGAAATGCTAAATGGGCATGTGTAGAAGAGGGGTTCCTTATTATCTGAGTAGGGTTTTTTTTTGTTTGTTTGTTTGTTTTTTGTTTTTTGGATTTTACGAGACAGGGTTTCTCTGCATTGTTTTGGAGGCTGTTGGTCCAGCCTGGCCTCAAACTCACAGAGATCCGCCTGCCTCTGCCTCCCGAGTGCTGGGATTAAAGGTTATTTGAGTCGTTTTTAAAAGAACAATGTAGCCAGGATAAGGAACCCTTTGCTGAATACACCCAGGGTTCCCTGCATTCAGGAACACGCTGTTGGATGCTGCCTTGTATAGATTCTGATGAGGTCACCACAAGAGGCAAGCTCCCCTGAAACTCTAGCAGGTTAGTATTTACAGCCGTGTGGGAATCTGGCTGTATGTATGATAGGAAATACTGCAGATTCGATTAGTAGAGAGCACAACCACCACTGCTTACATCTGTGGCTCAGCTGGGCCCCACGCAAGCTGGACCACAAGACTGAGGTAGAGCAGAGCCTGCTTCCGCCTCAG